CTGTTCCCACAAGGTGTACTGGTATCGACTCATACAGGCGAGATAGTTTGACGCCTTCACGGCCAACGCTCCCGTTGAATAGAAGCGGCGGCCAAAGGCATCCAACTTCTTGCCTTCCCTATCTGAAGGAGCGGAATGTGACTTTTTCAACTTGGACGACGAGGTGACGACTAAGGAGTTTGGTTGTGGATGGGAGAGGAGGAACTCTGCCGCAGTTCGCTGAATGCGGTACATATGGTCTAACTTTTTTGTAGAGACGGGGGCGGACGACGGTTTGTGCCAAGGGGTTTTTGCGGCTTGTAGCAAGACTGACGACATTGGAAGCTCGACGACTGAGGATGTGTCCAGTTGGACGATATCATAGAGAGAATCCGTAGATTGAGGATCCGTTTGAACAATTGACAGTCCCAATGCATGGGCCATACGTTTTATGAGGTCGGTGTATGACGACAAGTTATCCGACGGGGATATTGGGAGGTTCTGAAACACGTTGGTATTGGGAGACGAATTATCTGGCGATGTTGGGGCTTCGGAAGGCTCGGTATCGGAACCAGATTCCGAAGGCTCTGAAGACTCGGGTTCCCCAGCCGGGGCAGGTTGACGAGGAGATGGAGCAGGCAGCTGGATTGGTGCAGCCGGTGTGTGCTCCAAATGCTTCCGAGGAGGAGGTTGGACGGAAGATGTTCCCGACAGTGGAACATTGTCCGGTTGAGGAGGACGAGAGACCGTAGCAGATGGTCTAGATCGACTCGGAGAACAAGATCTGTGGGAAGATCGACAGGAGTATCTGTCCCAGTCAGTGTATCCCGTATGGCCGAGCCAAGGCATAGGAGGATGGTAAGGACCGTACAGGTACCAGAACTGCCTTTCATCCCAAGACATCGGAGGCGGCATGCACGACCTCAGGGAACAGCTCCTTGACCTTGGACGACGTGGGGAAAACCTTGACGGAAGAGCATACGTGCCCCTTCTACAGTCAAAGGCGTCGATATCGACACTCAGGCGACAAACGGG